TGGGTGGGGCATTGCCCAGTTTACTTTTGGAAAAGTCTTCTCTGGACACAGAGGGGCAGAGAGCAGATGTGAGGGGTTAGGCAGGGGCTGGTTGGAGGCTGCCTCCTTGGCATGGGGGGGGTAGGAAGGAAGAGGGGAGAGGTGCTGTGCCCAGTCAGGGTCCAACCCTCCAGATGTCTGGGCAGGCAAGCCCTTACAGGCAACCAAGGGGCTCTGCAGGAATGAGGAAGAGCCACACCTTCTGGGGAGGGGCTGCTGATAGGCTAGATGCTTATGAATCATATCTCCCTGCCTTGGGAGATTGTGGGGAGAAAAGAGTGGGTGGGAACAGATCTACAGGACACTGAGCAGGGGTTGGGCCTTCCCTTAGCTTGCTTTGCACTGCAACCGGGTCATTTGCCTCCCTGTGCCTTGGTTTCCCATTCTGGTCTCTATGGGACTAGCACTGAGGTGTTGATCAGAAGCAGGATCTAGTTCAAGTCTAGGCAGCATTTCATTGTGGAAAGGGCCCGGGCTTTGAAGTCGGATGGCTCTACCATAAGTGAGACCGTGGAGGCTGATGCCAGCTACTGTGTATCTGGGAGGCAGCTGCTGGTCTGGGGACCATACTCAGAGCACTTGCTCTGTGCAAGGAGAGCCTCTGGCTGCTTGCTCACTGCTGCCCCAGACAGTGCTGGTGGCTAGCAAATCCTTGGGAATCTTTTTTTTTTTTCCCCAGTACTAGGACTTTTGCACTGTGTTATACCTCTAGCACTATTTTTTATTTTGAGACAGGGTCTTCCTGAGTTGCTCAAGTTGGGCTTCAACTTGCTGTTCTCCTTCAGCCTTCCAGAGTGCTGGGATTACAGGGATGTAATATCATGTCTAGCTTGGTGAATGCTTTTGACTGAACAAACACGGGGTGCATTATTTTGGCTGGGGTGGAGGGTGGTAGAGGTAGGCGTGAGCCTGGGGATGCTGGCAGGATATGGAAGAGGAAGAGGGTCAGGGGCTGAACTGTGAAGGTCCTTCAGTGCCAGGTAGCACGTTGGGACATGTGGAAAGCTGAATAATGGACCTCACACAGAGCCACATCCTCATTACCTGAGAATATCACCTTATGTGGCAAAAGGGACTTTGTAGATATAACTCAGTTAAAGAATTAGAGATGAGAAGCTCATCTTGGATTATCCAAACACAGTAAGCCCTCAATGTAATCATAAGTGTCCATGGAAGGGGGAGGGAGAGGACCCCTGAGCTGTGGAGGAGAGTTGATGACAGCCAGGAGGTTGGAGCAATGAGCACAAGAAAGGGGCCATGAGCCAAGGAGTGCAGGTGGCATCCACAAGTTGCAAAGGGTGAGGAAAGGGATGCTCCTTGGAAGCCCCCAGAAGGCACCAGCTATCCCAACACCCAGCCTTCAGATTTCTGTCTTCTTAAACTGCAATAGATGAAAAATGTATTCTTTATAGCCTACAACTAATGGTCACTTGTTACAGCAGCCACAAGAAATGTACCAAGGGCTACACCGTATCCAGGAGTGCCAGGTTGCAGTGGAAGTTACTGAGCAGGGACTATGAGGGAGATTTTTGCTTCTGATAGCTCGCTGTGAATGATGGGACAGAGTAGGTGGGCCACAGAATCAGAGCTGAGGAGTGAGAGGCATACAGGGACAGGGGCAAGAAGGTGAGCAAAGGTGAGGCAATACAGGTAAGGAAGAAGCAGACAGAGAGCCTCACACTGGAGAGCAGGCTGCTGTCTGGCCACAGGGAAGGGAGGACTGGCCAGCTCAGCCACTGTCTCCTGGAGCCTCCCTCACTGATTATGTCCTTCACTCCAGCCAGTGCAGGCCGGAGCGGCTTCCTCCAGAATTCTTAGCCCAGGCACACACTCCAATTTTGGCAGTGAGAAGGCTCTGGGTCAGTGCTGGTTTTTGTCCCGAGGCAGAGCACAAGAAGGATATGCTATCAGTCGTCAGGGAAGCCAGGAGCCAGCCTTATCGAGGAACATGCCAGGCTCTGATTGCTCTGGCAGCTTCAGTGGGAAAAGCCCCCTGGCTCTGCTTGGCCTCCTGCCACTCCTGTGCCCTCAACCTTGGCACAAAGCCCTCTAGCTGGCTCCGCCATCCTCCACTAAGCCCTTCTGCCCACTGTGCCCAGGGGCTGGGAGACAGACCTCAGCTGGGGTCTCTGGGAACACGGGATCTGACCCTGGGTTTGCAGCTGTGTGTGACTCAGGTGGGTACCACCTCTTAGCTGGCTGGCCATGGGGACCAGAAGAGAAAGTCAGTGCTTGTCCTCAGCAGCACACCCAGCACCAAGAAGACACCGCATTACTGGAGCTGCTATTCCTGGCAGAGGTTCCTAGATTGTACTACTTGGGGTGCTTGCTTCCCTTCTGAGCCCCATCTATGGAGATTAAACAGACCCCTAGTTCACAGGGTTTGCTGAGAATGAAACGAAGACCCCAGTCTCAAGGCTTCAGCCCCATCCTGGATGAGCAGGGCTTTTCTGTTTGCATTCAGAGTTGCAGCACAGAGAGCTGAATAAAGTGTAAAATAAATGGGCCAGGGATGTGCACTGTCCTGCAGTGCTGGGAATGCTGAATTTCAGTCCCGACACATGTTGCTCTGTAACTGAGCCATGAGCAATTACAAGTGGCATACAGCAGTGTGGTGGGGTCAGGGGTTTCTTACCTCTCTGTGCACCCTTAGCATGGGGTGCAGAGAGTAGGGGCGGGATGGCCCCACAGAATGATTACCACGTGCAAACAATGTCAGATATGTCAAGTGGTAAATCGTGGGTACTTAGTGAATGCTCACTATTCTTGTTAAATGCTTACTGAATGAATATATAACCTTAAGGATTAGGTTAGAAGGCAGCTTATTAAGCCAGGAGTCAAATAAGAATGAGCAGTACAAAGTGATACACATGATTAAACCGAATAGTGTCAACTACTTTCTGTCTAGCTCTTAACCATGTGGTTTTTGTTCTTTTTTTCTTATACACTGTGAATTAAATTAGTTTTGTAGCTGAGGCTGCCTTCTAAACGCAGGATCGTGGAAAGACAAGGTCAAATGGGCCTTCACCAGGACAGGCTGTGGAAGCCTCCAGATGGGCATGTTGGACACACCTTTGTGCTGGTGTGGAGGGTGACTCTGGGAGGGTGGATCTCGATGCTAAGAGCCCAGGAGGTCAGGGAGCTGGCCTGGGGAATAGTTCAGGAGCTGGGGTGCTCAGCCTTGCTCTAGCAGGAGAGTGGCGGAAGGTGGAGGGCTGGGCCCCAGTCAATGGAGGGATGCTCCACAGCTGTGGGGAGAGGATGACAGCGGCATGGACCAGAGGGATATGAGGCCCCGGGCTCTTGTGAGGGAGTTTTGGCCCCACAGCTGTCCACCAGAACAGAGAGCCCCAGGGTGTGTGTCTGTGGCATCCACTTGAGCATGTGTTGGTGTGATGCTCAGTGACTGAGAGTAGACTCAGATCCTACTGAGGGACTGCAGTGTCTGTTCACATCCCTTAGCTTATGTGACCTTCAGGCAACTGTGATGAATGGAGCAGCCGCATGAGGGCAGATCCAACACTCTACAGGGTGAGGAAACTGAGGTCTAGAGGAACAATGAATTGTTCAAGTCATAGAATGTGTGAGGGCAGAATGTTTTCCATAAAGAACACAGCTTTGCAACTGACCTTTCATAATTTCTCATCAGAATCAATATGCAGAATGTTGTTTCTATATCCCTGGCACTCAGCATAATTCATGACATGTAGTAGGAATCCGACAAGTATCTGCAAGTGAGTGAATGGATGAACAAAGGGACAGATGGAAGGATGGATGGATGGATGAGTTCCACAGACTAGTTTTCTGAGATGCAAAAACTTGGTCCAAGGAAAGACAAAGGAAAGCAACATTTATTGAGCAACTCCTATGTACCAGGCATTCTAGAAACATTATCTCACTTGCTTCTCTCAGCTAAAGCTCAGAGAGGAGCTGTCTCTCCACACAGTGAGCTTTCAGTGTCACTCAGGTCTACCTGGCATTGACTTTGTCACCAGGGAATTTACCTAAATCGCAGACTGGTTCTGTTTATCTTTTCAGCCTGGACTAGTTCTGGAGGTGGAATGCTGAAGTTTCCTCCCTCTTGTATCTTCTGTGCTCTGTACATCCCATAGTTTGCAAACTTTTAATTTTTTTTTTTAAATAGCCTACGAGATTTTGCTTTCTTCTCTTTTCTCTTCTCATGAACCAGGACCGCACTGTCCTTGCTGATATCCCTGTCAGCAGGCTCACTCTGCTCTTCTACAGCAGGGCTGCTTTTCCATAGCACAGATGTGGGGTGTAGCTCAGCGGTACGGTCCTTGCCTAGCATGCACGAGGAGGTTCAGGCACCCACAGCACAGATTTGCCTAGGTTATCTCCACCTTGGCTCTCACCCTCCCGTCTTTTCCAATTATCTCTGGTATAGTGTCTATACTCTTGCCTGGCTTTCAAAGTCCACCTTCCTGTCCTCTTTCCCCACTGACCTGAGTGTTCCCACCATAAGAGCTGATGCACAGTAGGTGCTCAATAAATGGAGCTAGGTTTCTCATTTATCCTCACAGTGGGCCCATCAGGAGGTAGCATCAGTGCTTGGCTATTTGAGTGTTATTCTGGAGGGCTTAGTTGAACACTCACGACTCCTAGGTGGCAAAGTCGGCCTCACACTTAGATCTTTTGATTGAAAGGACAACATAGCTATAAAGAAGGGCCCCTGAGTTCTGGAGTCAGGGGTCCTCTATCCAAGTCCTAGCTGAGTGGTTCTTGACAAGTTTTCTGAGACCTTTATGGTGATCCTTTAAAACTGGAGGTAGAATGTTCCAAATAGGGAGCCATTGGAGGATTAAATGAGACCATGTTCACAAAGTAGCCACAGAGCATTCTCAGCACGTAAACCAAGACCACCTACATGCAGCGACCTTAACTGCTGTGCACAAGATGCCTCCCCTGTCCCCAGCTGCTGGACAAATGGTTAGTGCTGTTACCTGTTTGCGGCTCCCTGTGGAGCCGTGACTTCCATCCCACTCCACACCTGGAGATTCAGGGGTTTCTCCTCCTGCCATCGGGGTTCTTGGCTTTGGCTCCTGATTAGCTGAGCATTGTTCAGTCTCAGAGAAGTCTCATGGGAGTTGTGGCTGGCAAGCCTGCAGCAGAAGAGACGATGGTATGCGGTGCGGAAGTCTCTGTTGAGGGCAGCATACAGGATGGGGTTCAAGGCTGAGTTGGCATAGCCCAGCCACAGAACAATGGCTTCAAACACCTCATTGACAGCGTTGTCCCCTTTCAGCCCACGGTAAACAAAAACAGTGAAGTAAGGGAACCAGCAGATGATGAAGGCCCCCATTACGGCAGCCAGTGTCACCGTGGCTTTGTGCTCCCTGATGGTGGCTGCTTTCCAGGAGCTGATGTGATTGATTCTCTTGGCCTGCTCCCGAGCGATCTTGAAGATACGGAAGTACGTGATGCACATTATCACCAGAGGTAGGTAGAAGGTGACTAGCCCGTCCACCAACCCATACACTTCGTTGACCTGGACTTTGCACTTGAGGTTGGTGTCATTGTCCTTGCTGGTCTCATTCCTGCTATTCCAACCCAAGTGAATAGACAGGAAGGACAAGGTGATGGAAATGACCCAGATGAAGACTAGAGAGATGGCAACCCGGAGCGGGGTGATGAGCACAGGGTACCGCAGTGGATCAGTGACGGCGCAGTAGCGGTCGAGGCTGATCATGAAGAGATTGAGGATGGAGGCCGTGCAGAGCATCACATCCAGGCTGGTGTAGATATTGCAGAAGACCTTACTGAAGCTCCACGTGCAGGACAGCTGGTAGATGGCAGAGAAGGGCAGCACCAGGAGGCCCAAGAGCAGGTCTGTGACTGCCAAGGACACAATGAAGCAGTTGGTCAGACTGCGGAGCCGGCGGCTCAAGCCAACAGCCAGACAGACAACCACATTGCCGGCGACCGTGATGAGGATGAGGATTATGAGGATCACACTGATGGTGATCTTGTATACAGTAGAGTCCAGGCAAAAGGAAGGGGCTGTGCCATTGAGCTCCATCCTGGGACCCTTCAGCTCCTGCCCTGGCCCTTGGCCGCTTCTCTTCTGCTCTATCCACTGGGCTCCAGGCTCCAAAAGAAAGTGTCTAAGTTTGTGGAGGCTTCAGTGACTTATCCAATGCTGTTTTTCTAGAGATAAATCAAGCAGTCCCCTGGAAGGTGTGATGCAGGAGTAAGACCGAAGAGATAAAGGCGTGACCTTGAGACCTCATTGGTGGCTCAAATGCCAGTCCTCAGAGGGTCCCCTGAGGAGCCAGCTTCCTCCTGGGCCTGGGGTAGATCTTCACTCTCTAGGTTTTGCATAGAGACTGAGGCCCTGGGGCATGTGCTTGGAGGTGACTTTGTGTTTATGTGGGAGGGTTCATGCATAGACGCAGCCTTATCCTCCATTGTTGGCTACTGTTCTCATCTACACGATAAGGTCTTCTGCTCTGGGGTCCCTGGAAATCAGGAGCTGAGAATACAAAGGTGAGTGTTCAGAACTTCAAAACTAGACTGACAGCATGGCTTGACTCAATGTGAGTCCTTTAAGACTTCCCCCTCCTGACAAAGTGGTATGGGCCATTTTGGGGACCTCTCCTCAGGAGAGATGGAGGCAATCAGGATACACACAGGGAAAGGGAAGGGACACAGGTTCAAGGGGGTGGAACATGGTGTCCTGTGGGAAATAGCTGGAAGGGCTAGAACATTATACTGTCAAAAGGAGAGACCTAGACACAGACACTAAGCTCCACAAGAAGAGGAGCTGAATCCTTGCTCCCTGCTGGTTCCCAGCGCCTGACCCCACAGGTAGGCATTAAATATCTGATAAAGGACAAAATAAGTGTGCCAACAAAATGCAACTTATTTGCTCTTATAAAGTGCTGAAAACAGTATTTGGAACTGTTGTTTTTACAAGAGGCCAACAAACTTTTCCAGAAGAAGAAGGCTCAGAGAGCAGATGTTTCCTGCTTGTTGTGTGGAGCCTCTGCAGCAGGGGCTCAGCGGTGCCGCTGCAGTGAGAATGTCAGGCCACACACAGACACACGAGCAGGGCTGTGTTCCAGTAACCAGGGACCCAGAAATGTGGGTTTCATGTCATTTTCATGAAAATCTTCTTTTCATTTTTTCCAACAGTTCACACATGTGAAAACCACCCTTAACTCATGGGCTGTGTAGCCAGACAGAGGGCTAGATTTAGTTTGAGGTTTGTCACTTCTTGTCTCCATCTTTCATCAGTCCCATCCTAGCTCAAAACTCATCTCTAAATCTTACTTTTTTGTGATACTGGTGACTTAACCCAGGGCCTTTTCACTGAGTTATATTCCCTATCTATCTATCTATCTATCTATCTATCTATCTATCTATCTAACTATCCACAGATGGGGTCTTCCTAAGTCACCAAGTTGCTCAAGTTGGGCTCAAATTTGTGACCCTCCTGCCTCAGCCTCCTGAAATTCTGGGATTACAGTTGTATATCATCACACTCTACTTCTCCTCCATTCGTTATTTAGCAGCACATATGGTTCCAATACAGGTATGCTGCACAGAACACACTGGGTCTTCCTAAGGGTCTATGGGAAGCCTGGTCATGGTCAGTCTATCATTCATTTTCCTCCCTTTCTTCACCCTCCCTCTGCCCCTCCCTTCTTGCTCCCTATTTCTTTCTCTCCTTCCTAAAAATACCACGCCAGTAAAATCCCAGCACACAAAAGGCCTCGTGGTTAAATCAGAGCCCCTGGTCACCAGAAAATCACCAAGATTCCCTTCCGGTGGTGATATTCTGTATTTCCAACGGGTAAGAAACAAGCTAAGGACTTGCTTGATTCTTGGGCACTTTCACACCAGCTCCTTCTTATTTTTCAGAGAGCAGTCAGCAGGCAATCTCCCGAGGTCTGAGAGCATGCAAAATCGGGTCGACAGCAGAAGCAAGCTAATCTCCACGGGACATAAATTAAACCTCTCCCAGCCTCTTGCCTGGAGCAGTTTTGCAGCCTGAATATGAGAAGCCTCATTTAATCATAACGACCGTGTTGAAGCCGGGATCAGGGCTCCCCATCACCTTCTGCTGTTCCAGCTGGCTCAGTCATAGGCTTTGCAAGCTGGGCCTCTGGGTTCTATTTTTAGAAGATCTTTTCATTACATAAATAGCCCAAACAGCATGGGTCTCACTGCCACACTTAATTAACTTTGGAGAGGGCAGCAAAAAGATACGGTGTCTTTTTTGTTTTTGTTTTGGAGAATCTCTATTTCTGAGTAAATTTTTTTTCTTCCCTTCCTTCTTTTCCTTCCTTCACCTTGTCGTTCAGTCTTTCCCTCCTGCCTTATTTTCCTAAACATTTTATAACGAGCATTTCCAAGCACTCATGCAAAGCCGAGAAAACAACACAATATGCATGACATCTTGTCTGCCTGTTGACAGATTCCACCATGGTCTACTCTCCTTTCTGTATTCGCTGTCTCTCTTCTGCACATGTGTCTGTGAAAAAGATATAACTCATGCAGCCGCTTCCCTTCCCTGCTTTACAGGTGGCCCACAGCTGTGTATTTCACCACTTCCTCTTACACGGTCTCATCTTTGTCTGAATAACCCTGGAGAAGGCACTTTCTGAAGAATTTACTCCTGCAGAGCAATGCCTCTCCTCCACTTCCTGCTAGGGAGGCTTCACCTGTGGGCGTTGCCAGCAGCTGCAACCTGAGCAGAAGGCTGGTCAGTCTATTGTGCACTTCTCTTCTCAGGGGCCTTGGAGAGCATCCCCAGGAGCAATCACAGCTCAGGCCTCTGTGCAGCTTGGAGACATGAGCCGTGCCCTGCGAATTGGAGGTCTGACCTTTAACCCCGTGAAACATGCTCTGAGAAGTGAATGGAGCTCCAGGCTGACAGCAAGCCTTTGACACTAGACAGATCTAGATTCTGATTCCAGCATGGTCACGTAGAGAGCTTTGTGACCTTGTGTGACAAAGGTGTCATGGGGATGACAGTAGCTCCTACTCACTTGTGGATATGAAAGTAAATAAAGGAGCAAATCTCTCAGTGCCTGGCGTGTGGTAGGTTCTCAGCAAATGCTATTATTGCTCAAAGACACAAAGCCAGGGACGGGCATTCACCCATGCTGCATGTATTTACTACAGTCTTGTGGGTTCGTACACTGTGCTTGGGTCTTGGGACACGGCAGGCACAGCGTGAGGCATCTGTTGCAGGGATGGGCACTGTGTCGGCTGGGGGTGGGACCTCAAGTAAGCTACTGTGCAGTTGCTTATTTAATTGAAGCTGTGCTGGGAGTTACAGGAAGGAAGTAGAGAGAGAGAGACAGCATGAAATGGGGGATCCGAGCTGCTCTAGCGGACACTGAGGGCTTCCTGCAGAGGCAGTGACCTTTGGCTTGTGATCTGACCAGATGGGAATGAGGGAGTAACTGAGTGAAAGCAAGAGACAAGCAGGTTGCGGATAGAGAGGACAGCCAGCCTAGCAGAAGCTCGGGAGAGGGAGATGGTGGGCTCTGACCCAGAAGAGGGTGATGTCACTGGGTTCCTGGAAGGCAGTTCCTCATTCTCATCAGCTTGGCCAGGAACCCAGTGCTAAGGGCATCAGAAAGTGACCCTAGAATCAGCCCATAAGAAACAGACCAGTGGGGACCCAAAGCAGGTAGTCAGAGTATTCACTCTTGTACTGTTCATTCTTTAAGGAGAGAAAGCAGAACTTTCCAAAGCCCAGAGTGTCTGCCCCACATGGGGTACCGACCAAGGTGACTTACACCAGACAGTCACAACCGAGAGGACCTCTGGCCTTTTCAGGGAGCCCTTTCTTCCCACTTACAGCTGCCAGGATGGCTTTAGTCAAGAAATGCTGATAACCATTATGTACTCAGAGCGTGGGGCTTCTCAACTGCACGCAGAAGCCTGCGCAAGTTCCGGGGTGGGGGCTGGGTTGCGGCCCCCCGGCAGCTTAGATACAGCCTTGGAACAGGTAATAAGAGGCAAGAGTGGGAGCCTCAAGAGAATATGGGGATTTGGAGGAGTAAGGTTTAGCCCCGAGGCTGTTCAGGTGTGCTTGCGTGTACACACGTGCACTTGAAGGAGGCAGCACTTTCTTGGATCTGGAAAACCCCGCTAACATTAAAAACACTCAGACCACTGACTCAGCGGCTGCACTTCTAGAGAGTTTGTCCTGGGATTCCCCGCAGCATTGCTTGTGTTAGCAGAGGTTGGAAAGAGCATAAAAATGCATACGACAGAGTGTGAGGAAGCCACTGAAAAGCTCGACTTAGACCGTCTGGGCCTCAGCCGGGGTGGCCTCCAAGTGTCCCCAGTGTGATAGTCGCATGGGAGAATGAACGCATGTGTGCTTCCTATGCACCTGTACATGTTTTATTTTGTTTTCTTTTTCTTTTCTCAGTACCGGGAATCGAACTCAGGACCTTGTGCTTGCCAGGCAGGCACTTGTGCCACTGAGCTATATCCCCGGCCCTGCACCTGTAAGTGTTAACGGGGTGGAGGACCGGCTCTGGAGGGGCACTGTGAAAAGGGGAACAATGGCTGCCTCTAGGTAGGGAATGGACGGCCGGGACGTGGGTGAGAGGAAGGTATCTTTCCCACCATATTCCCTTTAGGACTTTTTCAATCCTGTGCAAGTGTCATCTTCTCAAAACTTAGTAGCCATGTAATGCACCTGGTGGAAGGGTAACGGAAAGAACCTGTAAAAGAATGGAACTGGGTGACAAGGCCATGCTTAAGAGGAGGAAAGAGCCATGTAGTTGGAACGGCTCCACGTTATCGCTAGCACTTGCTCTGCTCACCCCCCATTTTTTTTTTTTTTAAGTACTAAGGATTGAACACAGGATCCTTGCACTGAGCTTGGAGACAGGGTCTTGCTAAGTTGCCCAGGTTGGACTCGAATTTGCAATCCTTCTGACTCAGCCTCCCAAAATGCTGGGATTACAAGTGTGTACTACCATGCCAGACCCCAGGAACTTTTTAAATAGGAAGTCCTTTACCTCCAACCTCATACCCTCAGGAGCCATTCCTCTTCCCTCAGTAACTGCATGGGTTTTACAGTCAGATTGTCCTGGTCTCTGGTTATGCCCTGTCTCCAAAGCCTCCTCTGTTGTTAGGATAAAAATGACAGTGTCTACCATGCCTTGTGTGATCTGGCTTCTGTTAGCCTCGCCAGCTGACTGTCAGCAGAAAAATTTAGCTGAGGATGGAATGCTTAAAAGTTTAGACTTAATTATGAAAGCAGTAGGGAGCCATTGAAGTTTTGGGGAAAAGGCCCAAGGTCATCCTAGGAAACAGTGACAGATACAAGGACTCAGATCTCTTGATCCATCTCAGCTAATAATCAGTAGGATATCACTAGCATGTATAGGAAGGCTTACTTCATGTTAGGTCCGGGGGTCTAATACCAACATTAAGAAGGAAGAAATTCTTATTTTCCCCACTTTACAAATATAAATGTAAAAGCCAAAGCTCAGAAAA